TGATGTACTCCATTTATACCCAGGTTCTCACACACTGGAGTTGTCATGTGCCTTAAGGGCTTAAAAGCAAACACACGGATCCTGTGTGCGGCTCTCTGTTTTGACACCCTGTATAGTGGAACTACAAACACACACAGTGTATTTTTAGTTTGGCACACAGTGCATCAGTGAGGAGGGAGCATAAGAGGGCCATGCATGGTGTCAAGAAAAGTGGTGCTCCTCACCAGCTTTTGACACTAAATGTTTGAGAGGGCTGTTGTGAATATGATCAAGGACTCTTTTGTTGCCGTTGACTAAAAGGTTCTTGTCTCTTTGCCTGTGAATATCCTCAGCACCGAGCTCACAGCACGTGTCAATGTAGTGCTGCCAGTGTGAGGGAAATACACAGAGAAGGTCAAATAGGCAGCTTGCAAAGAACCACAAAGTTTGTTCACAGACAGCCTACAGAAAAGATTCCACATCAACGACCATATGTAATTAACTGTTTTAGGTAGGTAGCAATAAAACTGTATTTGTCCATTTGCTGGAATTCCTCCTTCTAGCCGCTGAGACTGTCTCCATCACGCGGGTTTGACCAAGAGATTGCCAAGTTGTGTTTGTGTCTTTGTCTGCAGCTCCAGTACAGGGCTGTGGTTTTGGTATGGGAGGGGTGAGGAGGACAGCATTGTGGGGACTCAGGGTGAAAAGAAGTGGGGATGGAGGAGAGAAACTGGACAGAGAAGAGAGGAAGAGGAGGATGTATTTCGGCTCAACACGCAATAAACGGAGCTGAGGTGAGGAGTTCATGCCAAGAGCAGGAAGTCTATATAATTTCACGTTCAGGAGTATAGAAATATTCTACAATGGAGCTCCAACCACAGTCCTGAGGTAAACAACACTCCTCTGCTATCATATAACCAAGAGAAAAATGACTCTTTTTAAAATGGCAAGTGTCCAGTTTTTTAAATCTTTTGATTTCATATGCTTCAGCCCTGCTTTTCTCTGTATTTGAAATGGCATCTGCTATCACCAAAACTTCTCTTAGCCTATTTTACCCTGGTCTGTCATTGTGCCCTGGGCCAGACCTTCCTTTCTCACTGCCATTCCCGCGAGACCAAATAAAGTCAGCCAATTTTTGGTTGCTGATGTCATCTCCACCATTTCGGTGACTGCCCTGTAATCATCCCTGTTCTGCTCTGTGATTGGAAGAGCCGCTCCAATCTGGCCTCGGTGACTTCTGTGGATGGAAGAGGAGGATGAAGGAACATATGGCATCCTTTAAAATCTTAAATTGCTCTTAATTGCACTGACTTAAATCATCTTACAGAAACTCCCAAAATCTAAATTTCTTCGCTTGCTGTGAATGATCATTTGCCTCCATTTTTCCACCAGCTGATATGAATTTTGCTTGTTCAGATTTCCTTCAGTAGTTTGACATGTAATATTTTACACATTTCCTGTATCCATATGGGTTTCTGCTTTCATTCACAATTCGATTTGGATGTGAAAGTTGTTTTTGAATGAAAAGGTTAAAAAAGTGAAACTGATGTATCAGTGCCAGAAAGTACAGTTCCTCATGTAGCCACTAGAAGCTAGCTCCAAAAGTGGTTTAATACTTAGAGCCCTATTGAAAGAAAAATCATTTGCATTTTGGCAGATATATTTTACCTTCATGGATAATTTTCTCATCTTACTTTTTCACTTAAAAAAAAAAGGTAAAAGGGTGGATTTTTATAAAACTCTGCAACCAAAATTCATTTTCGAGGGACATGGTCACGTGGGAGTGATGGGTAAGTGCTAGCTGTTACCTCAGGTATGACTAGTGACTGTATATAATGATGGACATGAGATGGTGGTGTGATCTAATTGACTTCTAACCTGTACCCAAAATACTTAAACAGCTTTTCGTGTCAGTCTTAAGCAGATGTTCAAGAGTGTGGACTGTAGTGTGAGTGTGAAGTAGCTCCTCAGGTACTTGACTGCCAATCATGATGTGACCTACCAATCCATCTACTAGCTCCATCTATCATGCCCATCGATCAATTAAGTCCAGCAATCCTTTAGGTCCATCCATGGGTCCATCCATCCGTCCATGGGTCCATCCATCCATCCATCCATCCATCCATCCATCCATCCAACCATCCATCCATGCAAGCATCCATCCATCCATCCCTCCATGCAAGCATCCACCCATCCATCCATCCATGCTTCTCATCCATCCATGCATCTGTGCATCCATTCATCCATTAATCTATCCAACCATCCATCCATGCAAGCATCCATCCATCCATCCATCCATGCTTTTATTTATCCATGCATACATCTTCTCATCCATCCATGCATCTGTGCATCCATTTATCTATCCAACCACCCATCCATTCAAATTGAGCAATTCATCCAACTCCATTTATCCATCTATCTGGTCCATTAAGTTGTGTTCAGTAGGAATGAGTGCTAAACTAAATCCCACCAATATGTTTGTGAATGTTCTTATTTGAAGGTGAGGGAAATCTTAGAAAACTTAAAAAGTTATTGGTCATATACTTTGGCACTGTAGCCTACTTTGCATATGATTTAGGATGATTGCGTGTTTTCTACCAATACAGAAGTAGGCAGTGCACTGATGAAAAGACTGGTTCTTTCTATCATTTGGTTCAAGTGCTTCTTGCTCTGCCAACAAAGATGTGGGCTGGGCAGCAGAAAGACAGAGAAAGTAAAGCTTTGATTTCTTAACCAAGCAATCCCTTTGTAGCTCCCTAGCTTCGACCTCATGCCTGAATATCGACAATAAGTAAACAAAAAAAACTGTGAGGTGAAGGCAAGAAAGACAACAATGGCATAACAGCTAATCTTGGATACCTATGATTGCTGTTTGTGTTTGATGTCAAGGTAGCTACAGCCACTCTATTTATGTAAAAAAATAATATCAAAGTACATGGTCAGAACCAGAGAAAAGGCCAATGAGATTGAACTGATGTGAAAGAGGTGGTGTGGAGAGGAAAATTTACTCACACTGGGTTGAATTTTTCAACCTGATTTCTCTTGTTTCTGCACTACAGTGTTGCTATAAGTATGTGATCAGAACACACCAATTAAGGCACTCCAGGAAAAATTGCTCAATTTGAGTTGTTGGTCAAGAGCTGCTGAATTTGCTGAAAGAGGATGGGACTAAACTGTGTATTATATTTGGAAATTGGACCTTCTTCAGAGAGAATTTCTATGATTGCCTACAATTACTCTCTCAAATATATCCACAGGGGTGCCTGTATAAAACACAATAATGGCTTACCACAACACATTTTGCAACCCATCATTAAGAGCCACAGCTCCTTCTGTTTAACATCTAGTAGCTGCCCTGATGAAAAGAGGCCTTGTAAATGAGGTCTATTAGAAGATGTTGGTGATGAAAGAGAGAGGCAGATTCAAGGTTATGAAATGCAAAGAGCAACATGAGAGGTCAAGAGTCTCTCACAGACCCACAAAACTGGCCTGTGGCTGACCCTGGACCAGGATGTCACACAGCTGTCAAAATGCAAAGAGCAGCTTTAACATGAGACAGCTGCACTGTGTGCATGCAAACCTTCAAACCTACATGCATGCAACTTTAACCACCGATTACTCTGTAGGTTTGAGGTTAAAAGTAAAAGAGATACTCCATACTTTTTTAATACTTTTCATTTTAATGGTATTATATGATATAATACCCAGTACAGTATTAGAATAACCAGCATGTGTCACTTTTTGATGTCAGTCAAGTTTTTACTGTATGGTGTCAAACCAATTTGTAAATTATCCAAGAGCTGCCAAATTGTAGAATATGTGAAATGTAACTTCAGCAAATCACTGTCAGACACACCCTGCATCTAACACAACATGACAAGCCTTTTAAAACAGGTGAGCTGCATACCTGACACTATCTTGTAGACATCCTGATCTGTTCTAGGTATTGAGTATTGAACCAGTACTGTTTCAGTTTTAAGGATTGTTTTAGGATTGGCATCACACACAAAAAATTTGGTATTATGGCAACAACAGTTGGAACTTACCAAAAGTGGTCCAAGGAAAGAAAACAGAGGACTAATGACAGGATCATCGACTAAGCTAAGGCTCATCAGGGGTGCTGTATGGGGGAGGAGATTTAGGAGGATTCTTCATGGGGCCCTACAGAAATCTATATGCATTAGTGAAGTATTTGTTTCCGTTGTGATACTTTCTCATGGGGTCCCAAATCTTTCGTGGCTCCCCTGAGGCTCATTAATGTGTGAAGAGCAAAGGCTGGCCCATGTGGCCAGATCGGATGGTACTTGCTGTCATCCTTGATGCCTAATAATAATGTCAGTGCTGTCTGTGGCAGCAGACTGAGGGTAGCGGATGCCAACTAACTTGACAAACTCACCCACAAGGCCGGTGAGGTTGTGGGTGTAGAGCTGGACTCTCTGACATTGGTGACAGAGAGGAGGATGCTGTCCAAACTACTGTACATGTAATCTTGGCCAGCATCCACTCCATAACCCACTGGATAAACACAGGAGCACATTCAGTGTTAGCCTTATTCCCCCCCGAGTGCACAATATAGCATCACAGGAAGTCATTCTTACCTGTGGAACATTAAACTTTATAACTCATCCCTGTCCCTGAACTTAATCTCATATAGTAGCTGCAAACTCCTTCACGTGCATTTAACTTCATTCACCTCTGCAATTTGTAGGTAAAATGGTAATATGGCAATACTAATAATGCATTAATTATTAAGCTTAACTGTGCAATATTCTCTTTAACTGTGCAATATTCCTCACTACAAACTGGTTCGATGTATTCTGTACTTCTCAGTAACTCATATTAACAGATTGAGCTCGGAGACTCGACTGGGAACATGTGACAGGTCGACATGCGACGGCCAGTGCAAGCCCTTGATTAGCCTACCCCAAACCGCCAAGTCAACAGACGAAAGCGGGGGCTATCACTGTATCTCTTACCCACACCTAACCCAAACCCTAAGTAAACTTTTCAAAAAACTTCCCCCAGAATTAAGTTCTATAGACTCCCCATGCCCTGAAACGTGCTCCTAACACAATTCTGGAAGGTGAAAAATTGGGTTGGCAATTAGAAAATTTTTCAATTTTTTTTTTCCATGCATTCCTATGGAAAAAAATCAATTTTTTTTAGGAACGTCCTAGAGACTCGGGAGTTGGTTCATTGCACTCAGAAAAATCCTAGCTCCAAGCCCAACCCTAATCCTAGCTCCAACACTAACCCTAACTCCAACCCTAACCCTAACCCTAACCCTAGCTCCAACCCTAACCCTAACCCTAACCCATGCATTCCTATGGGAAAAAATCAAATTTTTTTAGGAACGTCCTAGAGACTCGGGAGTTGGTTCATTGCACTCAGAAAAATCCTAGCTCCAAGCCCAACCCTAACCCTAGCTCCAACACTAACCCTAACTCCAACCCTAACCCTAACCCTAACCCTAGCTCCAACCCTAACCCTAACCCTAACCCATGCATTCCTATGGGAAAAAATCAAATTTTTTTAGGAACGTCCTAGAGACTCGGGAGTTGGTTCATTGCACTCAGAAAAATCCTAGCTCCAAGCCCAACCCTAACCCTAGCTCCAACACTAACCCGAACTCCAACCCTAACCCTAGCTCCAACCCTAGCTCCAACCCTAACCCTAACCCATGCATTCCTATGGGAAAAAATCAAATTTTTTTAGGAACGTCCTAGAGACTCGGGAGTTGGTTCATTGCACTCAGAAAAATCCTAGCTCCAAGCCCAACCCTAACCCTAGCTCCAACACTAACCCTAGCTCCAACACTAACCCTAACTCCAACACTAACCCTAACTCCAACCCCACACCTAACCCTAGCTCCAACCCTAACCCTAACCCTAACCCATGCATTCCTATGGAAAAAAAACAATTTTTTTTAGGAACGTCCTAGAGACTCGGGAGTTGGTTCATTGCACTCAGAAAAATCCTAGCTCCAAGCCCAACCCTAACCCTAGCTCCAACACTAACCCTAACTCCAACCCTAACCCTAACCCTAACCCTAGCTCCAACCCTAACCCTAACCCTTACCCATGCATTCCTATGGGAAAAAATCAATTTTTTTTAGGAACGTCCTAGAGACTCGGGAGTTGGTTCATTGCACTCAGAAAAATCCTAGCTCCAAGCCCAACCCTAACCCTAGCTCCAACACTAACCCTAACTCCAACCCTAATTAAAGAGCAAGAGTAATACTGTAATGACTGAATTAGGGTGTATAGCTTTGTTTGAGACCAACACTTGTGCACTACCTTTCACTGTGCACTGTTAACAATATAGTGTACAATAATTAAGTAGAATTTGGACGGCACCACAAAATGGTATATTCATGATAAAGGCAGCTATATGGGTGAGTAATGGGTGATTTTAGACATAAGTGAGTATCAGTCACACCCCTAAGAGGACACTAGGCATGAAGTATCAACATGTAGACTACAGACACATGTCGTGCTGAACGTAAGCAGCTGAGTGCTCATTGTAAACTCATTCTTTCGAAATTCCAACTGAAACACAATCATTAAAAGTCATTATAAAAGTAACTGGTCTTGTCATTTTATCATGTGTATCAATATAAGAGTGAAACTGTTTTAAAATCAGGAAAAAAAATCTGCTTTTAAATAACAACCGATCAGAGATATGTTCCCAAAGAGTTCACAATGCATTTTTGCCTTCTGGGGTTGTCAGCAGGTTAATTCATCCTTCATAATCAAGCACTGACCTCCGTTTGGTACATCTGCTCTTTGAGTTTGACAGTACATTTATTTACTGCCAATTCCACTTGAAAAGAGACATATGCCCCAAGGTGATTGAATTTGTTCCTGACAAAAAAAGAAAGAAAGAAAAAAACTCTTCTCAAGCTGCCGGTTATAGAAACCACCTGTCACAGAGGCTTGTTAAATAAGACAGTTCAGGAGCAGGAATGAGCCTTCTCTGCCCTGGGTTTAACTCTAGGACATAATAAGAGTGACACAGTGTTCATTTTCAAATTCCACAGGACTGGACTCCTCTTTTCTGAGGAGCAGTGCAAGGAAAATGATGGACCTGAGCATTGACTTATGGGGAATGAAGAGAAATGGGGTTTATATACTGTGGGAGTTTTCCACTCCGCCCTCGCCTGGTGTCTGCTCTCATCTCGTGCGATATAATGTGGCATTACTGCCCCCTGCTGGTACTATTTGAACATGCTTATCATTTGTACCACCTGCCTCTTATTTTACAATGTCCTTTTTATTTCTTCCAATATTTTTTCTTTAGCATTCAATAGAGAGATTAAAAGAGACATTTACAACCAGATACACACATAACTTTTGGATGATATATACGTCTTTTTATGCTCAATTTCACCTAATTTAATATCTGACTAAACAGAAATGATGATCAACTACTTTTTCTTTCATCTCAATGCAAGCAGCTTTATAAAATATGTCACTGTGTTTATTCAGGGGCCTGTAGGTGGCAGCAGCACAGTGTTATTTCATTGACCAGAGGGAACACAGACTTTTCTCAAAACAACCTGTTTATGTGCAGGTATAACTATGTCTAAAGGAGGAATGACTCAGACATCCTCCACAGAGACGCTGTGAGTTGAGACTGATGTTTCTCTTATTCTGATGCATACCAGGTGGGTTGAAAACTTAGGAGGGATTCATCATTAATTGGATTAAAAAGCCCACACAGCACCTGGGTTCATCAACACTTCAGGCTCTGTTGTGTGTCTGAGCCACAGACGCATCTTAATGGTTCCCTTTGGTTTGTGAATTGCTGTTTTGAAGCCTTCAGTTTGGCATTTTCACTGTCCACGTCTTATTGTCTTTAAACTAAGCGTAGAATTAGTTCAGGTAGGCCACGGACCACAGCTCACAGCGCATCTTCTGATCTAACACCAGCCCGTATCAGCTGAAAACTCGGGAGATTACCTCCTATACATTCAATCAGCAGATGTCAGAATGGTTGTCCTGCTTGAACTGCTCTGGTCTGCCTACTCTTCCTGCTCTAATCCGCTTTGTAGCTTCAACCGAACTCCTCCTTTCTATGCTACATCTGAATTTACAAGTGTTGAAATGTTACTGATCCTGTGCGCATATCTTTGCTGCTGCTCCTCCTGTCTTCATGCTAGATAGTATTTGACATGCATCTCATACTCTTTACCACTCATATCCTTTTTTTTTCTTATTTGCCTCCATTATGATCATAGCTAATGGGTGTCATCACAAACCCAGATACCAAATCACATCAAGGATGACCTGAGGATTCCCATAACTACCCAAACAACAGCAGAGACCTGCAGTAACATGATTTGCTGTGCTATAATCATTTTCAATTAGTTCATATTAATGAAGACCACAGGGGGAGTTAACCCTCGAGCCAGCACAGCTCATGTACAGTCAACAAAACTCGCAGCTTCATGCATCAACAGCTTACACACAAGAAGACATGACAAAATACAAATGTTATTTCTTCATTATCAAAAAGGCTGTTTTTGCATTTTAAATATTTTCATGTTCAAATTAATGCCATAGCAACTAGTATCGTAGCACAGTTTGGCAGCAAAACCAAAAGTGGTGTATATAAACTTTACAGGACAGAGGACACTCCCAAGAGAAATTAGAATGAAAGTTTTAGCCTCTTTTCTCTCTTCTGAACGAGGACATTTTGATGATCACAGTGGGTACATAAAAATGGCTTTAAAGTTTGGTGCAAGAGGAAGGCCATAAGCTTTTCCAGCAGGTTATAATATTTTATAACATTTTTAAATACAGTCATTCACATCATATTAAACACCTACTTGACAGGATACTCACTCCTAAAACCCACAGGATCCACACGCACCGCCTGCTGTCAGTGCTGTGCAGTGTTATGTGCCCATTCTAGTCAACGCTCCTGTTTCCACACAGGGAGCACCACAGCACGTCTCAGCTCTATTACAGAAGCTTCGTCTAGCTCCAACTTACTATAGATATGCATTGAGTCCAATCTTAACAGAGCCTGCACTCACTGCGCATCAAGCTGAACAGAGGGGATCGACCCAGACAGGATATTAAACATGGGGATCACACACCATCTGGTAAATTTCAGACCACAACAGCACAACAACACAGAGCATCAGCGTGATGAGATTTAATCAAAACAACCCCATGGTCCATCCATGATAAATCTTGAACACAGCAGGATCATGAGCTGCCAAGTTTTCTATCTGTGATTAAGCCAGAAAAAAAAAAAGTCTGCTGTTGCAAATGTTGTCTGTATACTGAGTCCAACTGCTCCATACCATGCTGCATTTTAAACACACAACTCCACCCTATGGGCCAACCGTACACAGAGCAAAACCAGGATGCAGTGCACACATATCCTGTGGGTTGTTGGGGTCAGAGATTATGATTATGCCATGGCTATGACTATGCCAAGTATTATTCTAATCTATTGTTGGGGAGGGGGTACCACAAATCTTGGTATCTCCCTCATTCCAATGCCAGTGACTGATTGACTGGGCCCATAGACTGTATATAGAATGGATGCCGTCTGCCTCCTCGCTCGGTAACGCCACCGTGAGAACCGCACCCTCTGGTGACAGGCTGCAGTATCGGTCATAAATCCTGCCTCCTCCAGCAATCCTTATGGAGCTGTGGACAAACTTTAGAAATTACACAGAATATAGATTTTTCACCCCCCTGCTTGCGATGTTGACATGTAGTTATATTAAGACTGGTTTGTGCTCAAGTCCTCTTTTTCCTGTGCAGCTCCATTTTTAAAACTTATTAGGGAGTTCATGTTTTCTTGATACAGCCTATGGGTGTACGAAGATCGGGTAGCTCACCCAGGGGATATGTGGTTTGAGCAGAGTGTCATCACAGCGACTCTCCCACAGAATAGGTACAACGCTACAGTGGTTCCAGGAAGTGGAGAAAATCCCAGAAATATCGAGAGCAATTCGGCTTCAAATTCGTATAATGACGGAAGGCGGAGCAGAGTTGTCCATAGTCTATACAGTCTATGATTGGAGCTCAGGAGGACTGTGGGTCATCTCTCAGTTACAGGGTTAGTGGTTTGTCCCCAGTCCTCCAGTGACAATATCCTTGTGCAAGACAATCTGTCCCCAGGGACATCATCAGAGATGTGTGAATGGGTATGAATAATAAATGCTGATGGCCACCTACCACAGCACTCCCAGCTTTGATTGTTTGAAAGCGACACGATTAGGTGAATGTAAAAAAATGGTTTGACATTGTTCCCAGTGGTTGAGAAGACTTTACTATGAAATACAAGTCCCCTAACTCCAGAGCCTGAGTCCAGAGAGAAATTCCCCTAAGTGATTAAAAATACAATCACAGGCTCAGCCACCACACCTACTAAACAAGATTTAGTTTTATGTTTGAAATATAAAACCAGCCAGCAGCGTCATGCTAGTCCCTCTGGACTGTTTGTTTTGTGTCAAAAGGTGAATAACTTTATATATCTCATACATGCAGCATCTGTACTGATGAATTCCTCTCCTCTCACATCTTTAACTCTTCTGTGATTAAATTACCTGTTCCAACAAAAAGTGATTTGATTGAATGAAAAAAAAAAATCAAATAAGGTTGTGTGAGTGTGTGTGTGTGATTTTGTGCGTGGGCTGAATGGAAGATGAGATGTGAACCCAAGGCTTACTTCTTGATTTATACGTTCAAATGTTGGTGCAGCCTTTTGACCTGATGCATGGGAGGGAAGTCTGAACCAACTAAGTTCACCTGCTTGGGGATTTATCTTATGAATCACTTCACAACAAATGTGCTGGCTGTCAACCAGCTAAGGCAAAGAATATTTACTGCAGGTGCAGAATTGAGCTATTTTATTCTGAAATTTATGCAGCACATCATGTAGTATATTCTGACATTTGGGTAATATTTCTTAAAGCTGGGCTCTATTTTGGCTGCCTATCAACAGGATTTAGAGTCTTCCCATTTTTAGCTGCTGCAGCAATACTAGATTTATGTTATCCCCTCAGACAAAGCACCAAACCCACATAGTATATCCCCTAAAACTTTGCCACAGATGGGCACAGATTGTTCTTTAGAGGGAAAGTTATGTAGTTATGAAGTTGAGTTTCATCTCAGTAGGAGGTGTACAACGGATGCCTGTCAGCCGTATGGGTCTGTGGGCTTCAAAGAGACATAAATACAACCAAACTGAT